AATACTTTGTATTGGTATGGTTTTTCATTTATTGATACAAATTCAGGGTCAATTTTGTGATATGTATATTTCTCCTCTTGATAAAGTATTGTGCTTATACTGATCTTTTAAAGAATGATGCATAATTAAATACAGACTATAGATAGTTACTTATATTAGTCAGAATTTATAGTTAGGTAAGTTAGGTTTTCTAGATATACAGAAATATATTTGAGATAGATAGTCTTCAAACCTTTCAAAGACCTTCAGAAAATGGCATTTAATATGGTTTAGGGTTTTTCTTGACAATGAGAAATATCTGCTCCTGGCAATTACGTCTGAGAGGAAGATGGGCATCGAAGAAACTCGTTATGGAGTTTGCTTTCAACATGGCAAGATTAGCCATTTGGGCAAGACACTGCTCTTGCCTGGACTGCTTGACTGCTGCTGTATAAACTGGACATATAGAACCGACAGGAAAGTGACTGCTGAACTCAAACAGTCCTTTAGGGTTCCTGATTCATGGAAGAGTCTACGAGACTTTCTGCAGGACACAAAAAAATGAATGACAGACTGCCAATGCAGATGGACATCTTAAAATTTCCTGCTTTGCTGAGAAGTCTTCCAGACACATTGTGGCCTTATGGGCTGAAGATGGATGCCCCAACATTACAGAGGAACTTAGGGTGACTGTCCAGGAAGCGAGATGTCTCTGTCAATCCTAGTGTTTCTATATTATCCTTCTGTGGTCTTTGATGGAGTCATCATGTAGCTGCCATAGGCAGATAGTTATCATCATAGTTTTCCTTAGTTATGATAAAAGATAAGCTACATATAAGACTTTAGACTCACAAAGATAGGTGATACTTTCTTTAAATTTTACTAAATGTTAATGGACAAAATATTGTAACTGTGTTCTTGCTTGATAGTTGTTCTGTTATATATAATTTGACTATGTTAAAGTTAAAACCTTTCTTTTTATTTAGACAGAAGAGAGGAGATGATGGGGAAGTCCTGTGTATATGTCAATAAAGCACTGTTGGCCAATAGGGAAGCAAGATAGGTGGGACTAGGAGTCGAGCAGGATTCTGGGGAGGAGAAACACAGGGAGTCATCATGTAGCTGCCATAGGGGTAAGCAATCCAGACCCTTTTCTCCAGTAAGAGAAATACTTATATTAACAATTAAGGAGTAAATACTTAAGTCAGAGCTAGCCAGTAAGAAACAAGCAAGGCCAACAGCTTCATAATTAATACAGAATCTTGTGGGTTATTTAGGGACTACAACACGGCAGAGCCCAGACGACTGGTGAGGAAAAACCAAAGCAGCTAGCAAGGAAAAGGCTTCACTCTAAAATCAACAGTTTGAGAAATCTCTTCAGATCTACTTACTGTCTTAGTTTTCTCATGGGGCTCTTTAAAGCCTAAGAACATGATGGTAATTAACAAGAAAATGAGGAGAAGTAGATGGGAGAATTAAGGAGCTCATGCCACAGATAGAAGTCTAGAACACAGATGCTCCAAGCAGAGGGCGCTACAGACAGCTGACAATTAACTGATACCAATGGATGTGGGAAGCAGTGGGTAGAGGGGCCTACAAATGGGTCCTGACAGGAACTGACACTCTGAATTGGCTTTGTTTATCCAGGAATGTATGAAAATGCAGGAGAGAATATACTCCACGATTCAACCAAGAGTCACCTTCCATTAAAGCAAGGAATACTGATAGCACGGCATTACTCTGTGATGCCTGACAGAGAATGCGGCATACAATTGGAACAATCGCTGATTGTGTAACGTCAAGGAAGAAAACTGCATGAAAGGCCAGCCTTGCAGTCTTCTTCATGGGTGTCTGCATTAGACAGACTCGTTTTCTTGCTGGCCCCAGGGAGGGAGGAGGAGAGGAAACGGGGAAAGGTATTGCTGTGACTCTGCAATTCTCACAGCAGGAAGGATGCTACTGTGACTACACTTTGTCTTTCCTGGTTTTCTTTAACTTTCTTCTTCCTGGTTAGCTGTTAACTGTCAACTTGACACACCTGGAGTCATCGGAGAAGAGACTTTCAAAGGAGGAATTGCTTCCATCAGATTGTAGGCTTCTCTGTGGGGGATTGTCTAATCGTTAACTGGGCCCAACCTGCTATGGGTGACACCATGCCCAGCAGGTAGTCCTGAAGAGTACAGGTCAACTAGCAAGCAGTATCCTTCATGGTTCCTGCTGTACTTCATTAGTTGTGACATGAGTTTCTTAGTAAGGAAGAGTAGTGAGTGTGGACGAACAGGTCTGTCTTGACTTCCAGCTGTATTTCCCTTAGTGACAGACTATGACCTGGAACTGTGTCTTAGTTAGGGTTTCTATTGCTGTGAAGAGACATCACAATCACAGCAACTCTTATAAAAGAAAAACATTTAATTGGAGGGGGGCGGCACTTACGGTTTCAGAGGTTTAGTCCATTGTCTTCATGGCAGGACATGGCAGCATGCAGGCAGACACGGTGCTGGAAGAAGGAGCTAAGGGTTCTATACCCTGATCTATAGGCAACAGGAAGCAACCACGTGCCACACTAAGCATAGCTTGAGCATAGGAGACCTCAAAGCCTGCCTCCACAATGACACACTTCCTCCAAAAAGGCCACACCTACTCCAATAAAGTCACACATCCCAATAGTGCTACTCCCTTTGGAGGCCATTTTCTTTTGAACCACCACAGACTGTGACAAACAACCTCTTTATCCCACAAAGCTGATGGGGGTGGGGGTGGAGGGGGGTGGGTGTTATCATCACAGCAACAGAAACGAAAGTAGAACACTACCAGACACAATAGTCAGGACCAGGGCTGTAGCTGCAAGTACGGGAAGAGGAGTTTCGTCCTAAGAAATTGAGCCTTTAAACCTTTGTGTCTAATTTCCTTAGCATCTGATGGGTGTGTGTCCATGTGTGTCTTGGTCTGTTCCCTGCTGCTATAACAAAACACTGCAGAATGGGTGAATTACAAAGAAATGTCTTTCTATGACGTTGGAGGTTGAGAAACCCACTATCAAGGTGCTAGATCTGGTGAGGTCCTCTTGTTATCCTAACTGGGTGGAGGACATAACACAATAAGAAAACAAGTGGAGTAGCTGGAGCAAGGGAACACACATATGTGCTGTGGGAGGACACTTTTCTAACAATTCCAAGCTCTTGTTAAGGCACCAGTGTATTTGTGAGGGTGGAGTCCTCATGACCTCAACACTCTTAAAGGTCCTACCTCCTAATACCTTCACTGTAGCAATTAAATTTCAACACCAATTTGAAGAGGACATTCAAACCATGGAACTCTATGGTTAACACTCTGTGTTGTTTACTGATAGAAGTAGAACCATAATTCTATACTTAATGTAATCTTACACTGTACCAAGTATCATTGTTTATAATCTAGATCAGCACAATGGTCAATGCCATTTCCAAAGGTGGGAAAATGCATGATACACAGAAGCAAGATGGTATCTAAGGATACAGGAATGAATCATTAAACAGAGAATGCCAGGATTATATTAATACTTCAAAGGAGGCTTAGAGGAGGACATGATAGTGTGTTATTTCAGTTATACCTGGTGACTGAAGAGGTGACACCATGTGCTGCTAAGACCTCTCCTGGTTTTGGAAGTTGACAAGACCTAACTGATGCTTGTAAACCTGAAGGAATATTGGTATGTTGGTCATTAAAATGATAAAGGTCCATACACCAGAGTCTTCTTTAGTTACAGTTATATACAATTGGTGATTCACACTGGCCTGGTTGGTTAAGAGTCCAATATCAGTGTTTCCAACTGCACTGGGAAATTACAAATGTTTTTACTATGCAATGCAGGGTATGGATTTGTTGTTGTTGTTGTTTACTTTAAAAGATACTGTGTCAAATACCAAGGGGTGTTCTGTAATAAAGAATCTACCTGAGCTTTGGGAGACTGGAAAAGGAGGGCAACTGGCACAGCATTTCCAGAGTTCCACAACTGTCCTGTACACTAGCCTATCTGTTATAATAAATGGGGTGACTTCTGGGAAAGGAACCTAGACAGGGTGTGGTTGCCAGAAAAACCAACCATAGGGAAGAAGAAGGTGGGGCCCTAGAGATGAGGTTCAGCTGCATGGCTGCCCTGGCTAGTTTATGACATCAACCCGACACAAGTTAGACTTATTCAGAAAGAAAGAGTCTCAATTGAGAAGATGCCTCCATAAGATTCGCCTGTTGCCAAGCCTGTAGTGCATTTTCTTAATCGGTGATTGACATGGGAGGGCCCAGCCCATTGTGAGTGGTGAAACCTCTGGGGAGAAATTAGTTCTGGGGTACTATAAAAAAATAGCAGATCAAGCAAGCCATAAGGAGCAAGCCAGTAAGCAACACCGCATTAGCTCCAGCTTCCAAGTCCAGCCCTGTTTGAGTCCCTGACAAGGCTCCCTTTCAGTGATGGACTGTGATGTGAAATAAACCCTTTCCTACCCAAACTGCTTTCGGTCATGGTGTTTGATCACAGGAAGAGAAACTCTAAGACAAAAGTCAATGTTTTCATCAATTATACGTATGTAATCAAACTTTGATTTTAAAGACAAAACAGAAAACCCTGGGACACCAATACTTGGGGAAGAAGCTTCCTATTGAATACATTCATGAGTGGGGCAGCTGCTCAATCTCCTGAATTCTACAAGATCAGAGTGTGGAATTCTGCTGTGACCTCCTTTTCCCCAGGCGATGCTCTACGTGCCTCTTCTACATGCCTGCTTACATTCCATTTGTCGTTCTAAATAATAAAGACTTCCAGTGAGCTCTACAGAAAACTATTGAATTACCCAACTTGAAATAGAGGGTTTATGGGAACCCCAAATGCATAGCAATGTCAGACAAGGGCAGGTAGCCTGAGGACTCCGGAACTCAAGGCAATCCAGCTGTGGTCCACAGCCTTTGTGTGTCTACTGCCACCTTCTAGGTAGTCTGCGTCAAAACGGAACTAATTGTAAAATAGCACAGAATACAGACCTACTTCATTATGTTTTACTTTTTTATTGTGGTAAAATATACTAAACATAAAATTTAACCTTTTAACCATTTTTTCCTTTTAAACATTATAATGAAATTTAACAATGTAGAAAGCATGTATAACATATAAGTAAACTCCTCAGATTTCATGAAATGAGCACAGTCTTGTATCCAAATTCTGGACCAAGAATTGAATAGTTCAACGTTTTATAAAAGAAAAGGAACATATTGGGAAGGAAACCTATGTGAGAAATTACAATGGAAGGGAAAGAAGCAATGTTTCCCAGTGAGTGTACATGAGCTCCATAAAACCAATTCCAAGAACAGGTTCAGGGACAGTCTAGAAGAATGCCTGTGTTACTGTTAAAAAGCTTTGGTGGACAGTAATTTGGGGTGTATTAGATTAAGGCCAGTCAAACAGCTTTACCCACTGAGGAGGCCAGTTTTGAAAACTCAGACTCTAGGTCTTAAGAGCCCAGGCACTGTCAAGTCAAGAGAGGAATAAAGAAAAGGGAATTTGCCCACCTCTTTCTCAATATGGAAAAAAAAATAAAAGTTATCATTTTAACCCCTTTAAGAGGACAGCTGAGGTTCACTAACATCCACAGTGTTATGCAACCATCATCATTATCCATCTCGAGAACTTGCTCCCAAGAGAAACGCCGCACATTTCACACAATAAAGGCGCAATCTTCTCATCCCTCTTTTTTCTGCCTGAAAGAGCTTGTTTATTCTAGGTGCCTCATGTAAGCGCAACCTCCCAGGACTGACTTCTGTGGTCTGTTCACTTCACTTAGAATAAGTTTCCCAAGGCACATCTGTGTTGCAGCATGTGGAGAGAATAATTCCGCTGCACGAGGATACCACATTGCTTTATGAAATGCCAGCAGATGGACATCTGAGCTGTTCCCAGCTGTTGTATTTGAATGACACTGTCAACTTTGGTATACAAGTGTCTGCAATGTTTCCCCAAACACATCCTTCTGTATTTTTATTTTATAAACTATGGGAGATACTTTACAATTTACAGATCAAATAGAAACTAACAATAAAATACATTGTAAATAACTCCAGGCTTTATTATAAGCATCAATAACTATTCTTACTAAAGAATCAGGTTAAAGAAATAAAAAAAACTGGAATGTAATTAACATAACTCAGGTATAGATATGTATATACAAATACTTTGTTAATTATTAGACTAGAAAAATATAAGTGATGGAATTATATCAATTATTTTGTACTTAATCTTCCTGAATGTGTTTTTAGTATTAAATACACAGAAAGTGCATACAATTATTTTAAAGATAATGCCTTTTTCTTTTGACAGTGTTGGAGGTCAAACCCAGGGCCTCATGCATGCTAGGCAAGTACTCTACCATTCAGAGACAACACTAGCCTTAAAATCATGCCTTTTTTTTTAAGCAAACAAAACATGCACATCTTTGGTTCCTCTGAATTAGTTCAGAGGTAAGTGTGGCATTTAGTGCTTTAAGCCCATGTTCTTGACAGACTGGCTGCTGGTCGATCGGTCACGCTCTTTAGTAATTTCCATCTCAATTTTGGCTTTGATTTTCTCCCAGTCTATTTGGAGCTGCAACAGAAAGGAAAAGAGAGTTGTGCTTATATCCTATGTTTCATTTAATTCAAAGTAACCAAGAGTTAACAAAACAGAATATATGACATCCAAAATGCAGAGAGGGAAGGTGTTAATGGGAAGTAATGCTGAAAACCCATGAGTCCCCTTTAAGATCAAGAGAGCAATTCCAAAGCACAAGGGAGACTTGTACTGTGATGGGGAAGACCAGAACTCTACAGCTATTTACAAAGCACATGGAAACAGTCCACAGAGCTCAGGGTTCTGCACAAGAGCTTAGGAGCGATGTCAAGAAGCCACTCTGCTCTGCTCTGCTTCCAACTAAAGCAAACTGGGCAGGACAGCAACTAGGCTGTGTTTGCATCAGCTCTGCTCTGGACATCACATAAGTGCGTTTCCCAGGAGTCTGCAAGGAAAGACTAGGGAGCATTGTTTCACAAATGGCTCCACTGCAAGTACTCTCAAGGTGACAGAAAGGCATGTAGTCACCAACTGATGAAAGCCATCAGAAGAAGCAGAGGACAGGCAAGACTGGGAGACACATGAACGTAAGAAAAGATTCTTATCGTTTGATTTCTTTTTCTATGAGGAGAGGAGTCTACCCTGGCCTCCTAGACCTATCTATCCCTTTCTAAGCTCCTTAGACTCGATGCTGGGAAAGGACTCCTCTGCCCCTGAGTTCTACGAGCGATTTCCTTAGAAACAGTTATTTCTTTAGGAATATACTGTTAAGCAGGAGATCACTCATTTAGGAATGTGTGTCCTCTGAGGCAAGACGTGGGAAAAACTGGGTCCTAGACTGAGCTCAAATTATGAAATGCACCCAAAGAGCTAAGACTGGGTCAGAAACAAAGAGGCTTTTACCTCCACATAAGTGAAACAGCATGAAACCAGGCCACAGCAGTTCCTGCTGCCTGAACAGATTCATCTGAAGAAACCGGGAGATCAGCTTGATGTTAGTAGAACTGCATACCTACTTTGTGCTAGTAATTGACTGAATTATTTGGCCCTTTTTTATCCCAATATGCTATGTCTAAATTTCCAATAAGTAATTTGTTGATATTTTGATGACCTTAAAAATAATTGTGCATATTTATCTATAATAAGATAGGCTGATTAATATTTAATAGAATTTCTTTTAGCCTAGAAGATAACTGTCTGTACTAAGAATCAAATAACAGCTTGCTAAAAAGCAGAGCAAATACTAGATTATTGAAAGACTAACTTTCAACCAGGCTACAACTTGCTATTTTCAAATGACAATGCATGTATTTCCATGTCTAACAAAACATTTATAAAAAAGGAAGACAAATCTTGCTGACTGCCTTAGTCTTCTTCCAGCCTTAAACTGGCTTACATTTGTTTCTCTAGTCAGTCACCATGCAGCTCCCCCTGCACACCTGCTGCAGTGCAGCAGTAGCAGTCAGCTGCTCAACTGAACCCATGACATCATTGGGTACTTGGTGAAATGTAAATACAGTGCATCGATGGATGGTTTCCTGCAGAAGCCACTGCTTCATGTCACAGTTTTAGGGCTGTGTCCTACAGATAACTTAGTTCTAAATAAGATTATTTTTAACAGTATGTTTTAGACAAAGGTGCTTGTTCTCAGTTTCAAGTGATTTCTAGGTCCAAGGCCATTCTTTCTACTGTAAATAGTGCAAATTACTTGGAACTTCTTATTTGACCCCTAGTCAATTCTTAGTCACATAAAAGCTTTCAAAAATCCCTATCTAATGGCTCTATCCAGCACCTCAGTCATGAATTCATGTGTCTTCATTCTCACAAATTTACCTATGCATGCGATCACCCATGTGCGTTCCTTCTGCCTCAGGCTAACCTCTTCACATGGGTCTCTGAACCCATTTCTCTTGACTCCTCGAGGACACTGCCTTCGGTAATCACACAGTCAAGTCCTTTCTGGCTTCCTGCCTCTCTTAATTCTGCCTCTGAGAGCTTCGACTTCATTCTTCTCTCCCAGGACTCCAGTTCTCTCTCCAGAGCACTGTAACGACTGTCCATCAGCCACCCTTCAGAAAGCTCTGTGTACTGCGGAGCTTCGAATCAGGGGCAATACCTCTCACATGCCAGGCAGGGCTCCACATTGAACTATATCCTTGGGTCTGGAAACTTCACTGAAACCACTACCCGCTATTCTCAGTTCGTACCCTATGTGCCTTCTCTGTTCAACAAATATTTAACACTTGCTTATGTCAAGCCAGCTATGTCAAGCCAGGGTTGAATAATGAATGAAAACATTAGGAACAGCCATCTTCATAGAGAGATAATAAAGACAGATCATGGCGAAAGAGAAGACAATAAGCAAATGTGCATGTCACACACTGTATGGGCTTTGAAAGTGGAGAAGGAGACAGTGAGTACCAGGTGCAGCAAAGTGGGAATTCACATGGCCATCTAATTACTCGATGAATTTCTAGGTGATTTTCAAGTGTAGGGATCAGAGAACTGGTGGCCCTGAAAGCTTGAAGAGATGATCAGTAGCAGAGGAAGGGAAAGAAAGACCTGAGATAGGAGCATTCTTGGGGCCCTGTTTACCCCACCACTGACATCCCTCCTAACACGATGCAGCCCACCTCTCTGTAGTTTCCTCCAATGCCCCCTCACAGCCACCTCAGAAAATGTCACAAGTGCAGTTTTTCCTCAACTCTCCTAAATTCATAGTGATACAGATAAAGAAAAAAAACAAGCCAGTTTATCAGTGTGTGCAGTGACATGGCTCAGGGCAGTGAAAGGTGACAAAGTTCTGGCTGACACAGCATCGTCACAAGTAACAAGAGACTGTAAAGAAATGACAAGACAAAGAGTAGCAGGTTTTAGACTCCACAGGCAGGAAGCCAAGGAAAGGTAACAAGACGGGAGCAAACCAATGGAGTGAGGGCTGGAGATTGCTCTTTGGGGTGCCATCTCTGAGCTGTTTATGTGTTGTCTTCAGGAGGATGGAGAGTGGCTCAGCAGGCAAGAGAGCTTTCTGCACCGGCAAGGATTGGAGTTCAGTTCCAGCACCCACACCACACAATTACAGTCACCCACAAGTGCAGTTCCAGGGGTTCCAATGCCCTCTTCCGGGCTCCACAAGCACACACACACACACACACACACACACACACACACACACACACACACACACACACTAGATATTTTTAAGAAGAGTTGTCTTCATAAAGCAGACTTTGTTTCTATCCTGTGTTCTGGTATAGAATGGGCAGAGAACAGAACTATTCCTCCATTGGCTGTTTCTCATGTTGTTACTGACACATACTTAGGCAGTCCTAGTGCTGAAACAGTATATATGGCTATAATTTTGGCAAAACAGATAAATATGGATGATACATTATGACAAGTCTACAGACCCAAATGATACTACCAGGCAATCAGCAAGTAGATGTCAGCCACGTAAGCTATTTTCCTAGGGTTAACCTTAGCAGCAATACTCAGAATTTTTTAAGTAACATATTTTTTCTTTTAAAATTACCGTTTCATGACTTTGCTGATGAGCTTATTAACTTTCAAATGACATCTACGAGGAAGGAAAGCAGACTAGAATATCTGAGGGGATCAAAGCAACCTGCTGCCCAGTTTGAGGAAAGAAACAGGTAAACCCTGCTGCTCTGGCGGAGCTGTCACCTACAAATGAGGCATTATTTTTTTTTTCGAGATAGGATTTCTCTGTATTGTTTTGGAGCCTGTCCTAGAACTCGCTTGGTAGACCAGGCTTGGTCTCGAACCCACAGAGATCCACCTGCCTCTGCCTCCCGAGTGCTGGGATTAAAGGCATGCGCCACCACCGCCCGGCCAACTGCTAAGTATTACATAGACCAAGAAAAGGAAGATAAGGATGCTAATTTTTTTCTATTTAAAATGTAATTTCAAGCTGGAGATGGCTCAGTGGCAGTTTGGTTCCTAGCACCCATGTGGGGGCACTCACAACTGCCTGTTAACACCAGCTCCAGGGGATCTGATGCCCTCTTCTGTCCTCTGCAGGCATTGCACTCACGAGCAAAAGTCATACAGATATACATAGACATATAATTTAAGATAAAAATATTTTACAAATAACCTAAAAGTTCATTGTGTTTTCTTAAATGGGGGAAACAAATTTAAGAGATAGCTTTCTTCCTATTCATCTATACTATTTATCTAAAAATATCAAATAACACAAACCTCAAGACAAATTATCATTAAAAAATTGACATGAGTTACAAAAAAGGGGGGTGGGGTAAAGCATTTAGAAAAAAAACCCAAAACCACCAAGACTGATGACTCATGCCTGTAATCCCAGCCTTAAGGAAATTGAGGCAGGAGAGGTCCTCCAAGTTAGACTCTATCTTGAACTAGATAGTGAGCTCCAAGCTAGCTTAGACCACAGAATAAGACCCCATTAACAAATAAACAAACAACAACAACAACCAAGAGCCTAGAAAAAGTAAGACTACAATCATATAGTCACAACATAAAATAACAAGAGAAAAAATAATGCCTTTAGAAATTAGAGTATGAATCACACAGCTTTTGTCATAAAACGACTGTTTTAGATAAGGCATATATACTACTATAAAACACTGTTCAATACTTACACCTTCTGCATATTGCAAATATCGTTTATTAGTTTCCTGTTTACCAAATGTCTCCAGAAATTTTTGACGATAAGCAAGAACTGTGTCGACATGGGTTTTGTATTTTACAGCCAACTCCAGTGCCCTGTAGTGAGAAGTTACATAGATTATCAATATCACTGGTTCTAAACAACAGAGTTTTGAAATTAGAGGTGGACAAATGACACAGTCTAGAAAGCCATTTTCTGCTTTAGCCATCTATATATTTTTTAAAGCCCAGATGAGACGTGACCCTTTCTTGATGACTAGCTACTCTTGTATGAATACAACATAAAATGCTGTGTCATTTTTCCATATTATAGGCTAGCACTACTTATGAGGTGTGCATTATAGACCCTACTCTAGCATATACAGTTTTTAAAGGGAGATTATGTTTTCATTTTCTTTAGTGAGGTCTGCAGAGTATATGTATGAAAAACACTCAGCAAAATTTTGGTAAACCATAAAAAGCAAAAACCTGACATTTTATGAATCTACAATAAACTTACGGAATTAAAAAGTAAGTTTTAATTACTTGAATTGCTATATCAAGTTTAAAATCTTATACAATAAAAAACTAATATTAAACCAGTGTGACAAATGCTGTTAGTATTTGAGTCTGGGAAAATGGGATGCTAGGATGGCTAGGTGTCTTAGCAGGTAAGGTACTTGCCACCAAACCCAGTGACCTGAGTTTAATTCATAGGACCAACATGATGGAAAGAACCAACTTCCACAGTGACCTGAGTTTAATTCATAGGACCAACATGACGGAAAGAACCAACTTCCCCAGTGACCTGAGTTTAATGCATAGGACCAACATGATGGAAAGAACCAACTTCCCCAAGTAGTCTTCTGACCTCCAACCATGCACATGTGCACAAGTCAATCAGTCAATCAAGCGATTGATTGATTGATTAAATTTTAAAAATTTAAAGAAAATGTTAGGAAGCCATTGAAATTTAATCAATCATTGTGATTTAATCAATGTATCTATAAAACTATGGTATTTTAAGGGAAGCCTTTATTGCATCATACCAAAGAGACATGTCTACCCTGGTAACTAACTGCAAGAAAGTGGACAGATTACCTCAGCCTAGGCTCCATGTAAGTCCACTAGGACCTCAGCCTCATCAAAACCCTGTGCATGACTCACAGGACCTGAGTCAAGAACAGCCAAGTACAGTATGTGTCTCTTTACTTTTCACTGTCATCTTGCTTTAAGGCTTGGGTGACAGTCACCAAAGTAGTCAAAAGTACATCAATTATCAAATTCTCATGTTTTCTACTATGCTATGACATGAACAGAACAACTAGGATTTATCTGATGCAACTATTATTGATCTGTTATTTTAAATAAAACTGAACATTAATATTTTATAACTTGTGATTCTTCAATATTAGCCAAACTAAATAATATCTTTCAAAAGAATTTTTGGGATCAGAAAGATATCTCAGCAAGGAAAAGTACTGGCCATGCAAATCTGCAACCTGTGTTCCATCCCTGGAACCAACATAAAGGTGGAGAGAACCAATTTCACAAACTGGTTCTCTGACTTCCATATTGCACTCTGGCAAGTCTACTCCCCACACCTCTCCCTCTCCCTCTCCTTCCCTCCCTCCCTCCCTCCCCCTCTCTTTCCTTTCCTCTCCTCTCCTCTCTTTCTGTCACACACACACTCTAAATACTGTGTGTTTTAACAGCTGATAGGCAATTGAGGGAGCTATCAAAGACAATACAAAAAATATGAATGTAACTCAGTAACATCACAAATGGGAATGGCAAAATAATGAAACATGGTTTCTTATAAAACAAATTAACGTGTCAACATATGCTATATATTACGGTAGTGGCTTGAAAAAGATTGGCCCTCATAGGCTCACATATTTGAATGCTTGGTTACCAGAGAGTAGCACTATTGAATGGATGGGGAGGTGTGTCCTTGATGAAGTAAGTAAGGTCTTGTTGGAGGACGTGCCACTGCCATGGGCTCAGAGGTTTCACAGGCCAAGCAAGCCCAGTGGCTTGCTCTTGCTACTGCCTGTGGATCTAGATGAATGCTCGGCTATTTCTCCTGCACCATATTCCCCAGTATGATTGATGAAATGGACTAAACCTCTGAAACTGTAAGCAAGACCCAATTACATGCTTTCTTTATAGGAGTTGCTGTGGTCAAAGTATCTCTTGACGGCAACAGAATAATGATTGACATGGACTCCCAGAGGTCTCTTTTTTTTTTTTGCAACTTTAAGTCTTTCAGAGAAAAATGAATCAAGCAGATGGGGACTGAAATGGCAAACAAAAGGCAGCAATGAAGCAACAGAGAGCAGAGGTAGTCAAGACGCCCTATTGCTTCCAGCCCCTTTCCACCCACGCCTCTGAGCCCGGGGGGGCTGTGTGTCAGTGAACTCTGGTGAACCACACTACCGGCCCCTTCCAGCAGGTGATGGACTGGAACATCTTGCCTGCAAAAGTGAAAGCAAGCATACACAGGCCATTCTGTACTGGGCTTTTCAAAAATTCTAACGAAGTGATATGGTATGCAAACATCAATACATTTAGTTACGCAGAAAAGACAATGCCTAATCTTGTATTCAGAGGTTAGGTCGTCAGTATTATCTACACCACTGTCATTATTATAATACTAAATCATGCATTAATTATTTGAAGAGGAATGGCTAGAAGTAAACATTTACATACGTGTTATTTTAAGTATTCTCTAAATGCATACACACTGGGTAAAAATGTTTCTCCACTACATTTAGGAGGGAACTTACTTCAAATTATATAAGGGCTTTGGGAACAGTGTGTCTCTAGTTTTAAAATGGTTTGGCAACCAAACAAATGTGACATTAGATTCTAGGGCTGGAATAAGTCCATGTATTTTAAATAGGAAGAAGTTATATAAAAAGATATGATAACTTCTAAATATGATCTTTTGCATAACTTGAATGAATCAAAACACTTTATATAACTGGTAGACAATTAGAAATTGTTTTATTAACACTTATACACAGGATCAATGTGGCTACCTGGAGCTTTCATTTCTTCCTCTCCTAACTTCAGCTTCTCGGCAAACATTAACACTCAATGTCCAAAGAAGACACCAAACAGCTAAGCTGCCTACCCACAGGTCTTTAGGCTCTGCATTCTACTAGGGTGCAGGCAATCTCCAAACTCTAATACAAAATACAGATGCACAACCAGTAAGAACATGTTTCTCAAGCAGAGTAACACATGAATGAACTAAAACCTAGCCCCTTCTACATGCTCTCAACAAAGGTAGAGTTCAGGGACCTCAACAGTAATCTAATATGTCATCCAACTCTTCCTTCTATCATTCAAGAGTTAAGAGATCCAGCAATGACCAATAACAGTTGCTAATATCCAAAGACCACAGATGACCCAGACATTATAAAAATACACATACCACCAGCTACAAGTATTTAGTCTCCCTCTCCTCACCCCCCAATTAAACTTAAACCTGTAAGGCTCTAGATTCATGACCAGTTTGTAGCTAAATCAGGAGACAGTCACCAAAAAGATGTAATCAACACTGTCATGATGATAGGAATAGGTCCAGTTTCCTCAGTGGGGAAATCAAAAGCAAACACAAAAGGAAGCAGAACCTGTCTAAGAATGTACCAACTCACAACATAGGGGTCTTTTTGGGTCTCTACATAAACCATAAAACACTTATTAGATAACAGAGAAATAAGAACACTACATATAATTGCTGACAATTTGTAAGTATGATCATGGTATTATGGCTGCTAAAATCTTTTAGATGTATGTTTAAATACAGAAAAAATGTGGTCATTGTAGCTTGTCATAAAATAAATGCTAAGAGCAGGGAGTGTGCAGAGACTACAAAAACTGATTGATGGTGCTCATCACACTATTTTTGTGTGCTTTTCCATAGCAAGCATTTTTTCAATTTCATGTTTTTGGTTCCTGCTGACATATTCTGCTGAAACTCTTTTTCTCCCTTGTATATACTAGGCAAGCATTTCACAAATCCAGAGCTACTACCAAGCATAGTCGTGTGTGTGTGTGTGTGTGTGTGTGTGTGTGTGTGTGTGGTTAAGAAGGTGATACTGGGTGTAATCCTTAATTGGTCTCCACTTTACTTGTTTTAAAGGTTTTCCATAATTAATTGAGTTTGTTCTTTGACATTTTCAAACATGTATAAAATGTATTCTCACCTCCCACTCTCATCTACCTCCCATCCCTGTCTCCCTTCCTACAAATCTTTCCCACATTTATATCTTTTTGTTTAGTGACCCACTAAATTTAACCAGGGTCCTCTGTGCTACCATGGGTAGAGAATTATTCGATGGCTTCCCATATCCCAGAATGTTTCAGTAACCTATTTTAGAACAAGAAGAGGTATGGCCACAGGTACCCGACCCCAGCCATAACTGATTGCTGACAGGGCCAGTTTTGAACAGACAACCAGAGCTGCTGTGAGTTCAAGATTACAATGCCTGCCATGCCCAGAAGAGAGCGTTTAGAAGCAGTTCTCCTCTCTTCTGACTCTTGCATTTTCTGCTCCCTCTCCTGAGATGAAGCCTTGGAGGGAATGTTATAAATATCTTCTTACGTCTGAGCACTCATCTGTCACTCTACCCTACTTTTTTAACAGGGGGTTTCCCACTGAACATGGAGCTTGCCAATTTGGCTAAATTGGCTGGCCAGCAAACCCCAGGGACCCTTCCTCTCCACCTCCCCAGCACTGTGGTTATAGACATGCTGCTGTACCTAGCAACCCAAACTCAGGTCCTTACACGTGTGAGTAGCAAGCACTTTACCAAGTGGGCTGGACTCCTAGCCCCACTGAGCCTCTTCTTAAGCCAACCCCAAAATTGGGCATTCAGTAGAGCTGACTGTCTTGTCCTCTACTCCCTCTGATGATGCCATCACTAACACATGGCCTCATGCTATATTAAACGCTTTACCTCAAAGTCTGGGGACACCCTGGAACTTTACAACTGTAAATCCCACTCCCTATAGGGCCTCATGACCTTGACAAAGGCAATTTAAATGAAACAAGACTTTTGTACATGGGCTGGAGAGACGGCTCAGCAATTAAGGGCACTGGCTGCTCTTCCAGAGGTCCTGAGTTCAATTCCCAGCAACCACATGGTGGTACATAACCATTTATAATTGGATCTGATGCCCTCTTCTGGAATAAATGTGTACATGCAAATAGAACACTCGTATACATAAAATAAATAAATGAATTAAAAAATTTTTGTACAGATTAACCATTACCATATACTCCCCACAAAGCAAAAATTCCACCACAAAGTAGAGTTTAGGCCTGCACAATGTTCCACAAAAGTATGGGCTTTTTCTGCTGCTAAAAGTACATGAGTAAATTTATGCCCTAATAGCCTTTCCTTTGATATACACAATACTACGAACTTTTAAACCATCATTGAATAGTCCATCTCAACTATGGAAACCTTTGTTTGTGAGAATGACCACCTGCCCAGTCCCAAGACAAATTAGAAATATGGGTGGGGTAAAATAAGATGTGTTGAAAAGATCACTGAGCTTTGCTTAGCTGTCAACTTGACACATTCTAGAATCACCCTGGAAGAGTTTTAATTGAGGAATTGTCGACGATAGGTTGGCTGTGGGCGTGTGTGTCAGGTGTTTTCTTAATTGTTAGCTGAGGTAGAAAGACTGACCCTGGATGTGTGCAGCACCGTTTATGGGCTGGGCCTGAGCTGTAGGAAGGTGAAGAAAGCTGGCTGAGCGTGAAGAGCAGCAAGCAAACAAAGTGTCTATTCTCACTCTGCTCTCGACAGGGGACGCAATAACAGGGCATGAGTGTCCCCCTTCACTTCCCCAAAGTGATGAACATACTTGGAAATGTAATCCAAATAAAACCCTTTCTCTAAACACACACACACACACACACACACTTTCTCTCATACACACACGTTCTCTCACTCTCTCTCACACACACTTTCTCTCATACACACACACTCTCTCACTCTCTCTCACACACACTCACACACTCTTTCTCTCTCACAAACACACTCTCTCACACACAAACTCACACACTCTCTCACACACACACTATTTCTCTCACACACACACTCTTTCTCTCTCTCTCACACACACACACTCTCTCACACTATTTCTCTCACACACACTCACACACACACTCTTTCTCTCTCACACACACACTCACACACACACAGCACTCTCTCCTCACAGTTGCTTCTTGGAGGGCCACTGTGAGCTTGAGGCAAGAATAGGCTACGTAGCAAAGCCATCTCAACTGTTCCCCTACCAAAAAAATGGTCAAAAGAATATTTTAAATACCAGCTTTCCATTTTTTTTTACAGAATTCTAATGGTCTATGCTGATCTATTAGTTATTTAACATAGTTCGATAACATTACTCATATCCTATCTTTTTCCAAATTAATTACTTTACGATTTAAATGGGCTACTCCTTCTTTCCTGATCTTCATTACACTATACAACAGTAACAAACTCATGTAAACAAAGCACAAACACCTGACAGCAGCTGAATTATACAGATGGTTATAGCACGAGTATAAACAGATAATGGTCTGTTAATCACGAAATTAACAAAATAAACTGTGTTGCTTCTATTTGAGGAGAATGTGAAGATGGACTAGCACCAGGGTTTATAGTCTGAGAGAGTTATGAGTCCTAGTAGATGAAAAATCGTGGATTATCATTTGATCTACGATGGCACCCTGCCGATGAGACATTCTGAGTACAAAGGTGCCACAAAGCTTGTGGGAGTAACCAGCTAATAGCTGACTGACGTAAGCCCACCCCATAAAGTGGAGCCTATACCCAGCACTGCTGAGTGACCAAGAGCCAGAGTCAAACAGCCCAGATACCTAGGGTAAAACCAAATATTACTGGTCTAGAAAAAGACAAGAAAAACATAGTGATGACGTGACTCTTAATGACTCTGCTGTACTTAGATCAGTGCCTTGTTCAGCCATCCTCAGAGAGGCTTCCTTCTGCAGCAGATGGGACCAGATGCAGGGACCACAGCCAGATACCAGAGAGTGAGAAGCCTTGGAACACTCAGCTCTAAATGGGATGTCTCCATCAAATCTCTTCAGAGCTCCGGGAACCCCATGGAAGAGAGGACAGGAAGAGTGTAAGAGCCAGAAGAGATGGAGGACATCAAGAGAACAAGGCCCTCTAAGTAAACACGAGCAAAGCTCAAATGAACTCACATTTACTAAAGCAGAATGCACAGGGCCTGCATGGTTCTGCACAGGTCCTCTGCATACATACTATGGCTTCCAGTTTAGTGTTTTATGGAACTCCTGAGTGTGAGACTGTGTGGGTCTCTGCTTTTTGTGTCTTCTCAAGCTCCATTTATTTTTGTTCAATTCTAATGTGTTAGTCTTTGTTTTATTATATCTTACTTTGTTATATTTTAATATTATCTCATAGAAGCCTGTACTTCTCTAGAGAGACAGTAAGGGAGGGGCTCCAGATAGGAGGGGAGGTAGGGAGGAACTTGGAGGAGTAGAGGGAGGGGAAACTATAATCAGGGTATATTATGGGAGAAAAGAATCTATTTTCAATAAAAGGAAAGGGAAAAAAAAGGAAGACATGTGGGTTATCTTTTGAGCCCAGAGAAAAACAAGTCCATAAAAGACATTTTGGACATGTAAATGTATGTTTCATAGTAATTTCTGGGTCACTGTGAGACACATATCTAAGGGAGTGATAGGAGACACCTAGTGTGTCACAAGGAGCAGCTGGCTGGCACTTCCTCAGCAGGCATGAAGGCTGCTTCTGAGAACTCCTACCATAACCTCTCTCCGTTCCTCTCGGCACACTACCCTCCAGCCCTTGGTTTTCCCTCTCGGACGCCTGCGATCATCTGGCAGGCTTCTCTTTCATCTACCCGAAAGTATAGCTGAGATTGTCTCATTCTATACACTCTCCAGTCACTGTATCTGTTCTTGCTTCAACTGCTCCATTTGCTTCTGAGTTCTCAATCTACCTGTCTACTTCCAATCTTACCAGTTCAAGTCCTCAATGGATTATAACTACCTAGTTCAAAATACTTCTTTCAAGATCAACTTAGATAGTATACATGGGGTATACTATCTTCTCTCCCAAATCTATTAACAGTACCACTTTGTACTGAGATATTCACCTCCACACCCACCCCACACACACTCCGCACCCCACCCTGCATCTGTAGCTCTGACCACGCCCAAATGGCCTGGAAAAGCCCTTCTTCAGGTTGCAGAGAATATCCAGGTGGCAGGGTCTGCATGCTTGGAGCAGGAGTCCAAAAGTCACTGGTTTCCTGTGTAAGATATTTTCTCCAAATAAACTCTATTTCATCTTACTGGTCAAGCATCCTGATTTCCACACCCACAGCTGGTGCCCAACGTGGAGCACAAACACACCACCCTTGGGATTAAGAGTCCCATGCTCTATCAACTGAGCCAGCCAGATCACATGATGATTCTTCTCTGCCTACACTTCCCAGAATCCTCTTTGTCTCCTAGTCTACCTATCATCCCACCTGGCCAATCAGTGTTTTACTGACCAACCAATAAGACAAACATATACTCAGAAGAACATTCCCCGTCACCACTTTCTAGTACTAATATTATAAATTTGGGAGGCATCTTAAGACTCTTTTATTCTTTAGACCCCAACATCTATCAATTACAAGTTCAGAAAAAGCATTAATTTCCACAAATGACATTTTCCAGGCTTGAAAATGTTAAGATCCACCAGACAGAATACTCACAAATACAAAATGAACAAATTCTCTTGTAGCACTAGAAAACTATTGAATGTGCCAGAAACTATAATTATTTAAGTTGCAGACAGAACACATGAAGGTCAAAAGGGCCTTGGAACTGTAGAAGGGTTATTACCTTTCCCAATTATAGAGATTAATGTTGATCTGGATTGCTTGGTAAATGAGACCAGCCTGGAGAAGTAGTGTCTCAGCCTCCTGTATGTTCCCACTAAACATTAATATGTGGGCCATCTTTGACTCTTTAGATGGAAGGTCTTTTATAGCATTGATGTATCGAACTTTATCAATCTAAAAGCGGGGAGAGAAACATACCCTACGTCAGTGACAATATGCACATAGTAAGTGATGTCAAGGAAGAACGTGTGCATATGCATAAACATGAGTCACTTACCTCACCAGTCGCTGCATAAGCTATCTCTGCAGTCACCATGTCTCGATTAGCAACCGCCATAGCCGCCAGGCAAGCCCACAAGCTTTGCTCCTGAAGTGAAATGTGAGAGCAGGCATGCTTAGCAGGCAGCCAAACTACATATAAGCAGCAGTTTGAATTCTAATGGTGACACAACTAAGTCAGTAATTCACCAATAAAAAGTATGAAACATGGCACTGAAAAAAAACTAATAATAAAGAAATTATATAGAAGTCAGGCATGGTAGCACACTTTTAATCTCAGCACTTGGGAGGCAGTGGCAAGCAAATCTCTTTGAGTTCAAGGTCAGTCTAGTCTGCACAGCAAGTTCAAGGCCAGCTGTGGCTAAGACCTTTCTCAAAAAAAAATTCACTATGGGTCTCTATTTAAAAACGCTTCCATCATTTTTACTATGTTGATCCTACCTATCCAAGAGCATGGGAGATCTTTCCATTTTCTGGTATCTTCTTCAGTTTCTTTCTTCAAAGACTTAAAGTTCTTGGCATATAGGTCTTTCACTTGTTTGGTTAGAGTTACCCCAAGATATTTTATGTTATTTGTGGCCACTGTAAAGGGTGATGTTTCTTTGATTTCTTTCTTAGCCCTTTTATTGTCTATATATAGGAGGGCTATTGATTTTTTTGAGCTAATCTTGTATCCTGCCACATTACTGAAGGTGTTTATCGGCTGCAGGAGTCCCCTGGTAGACTTTGTGGGGTCACTTAGCATATGTATATGTATATCTATATGTATACGTATATGTATATGTACCACCACACACACAGCATGCACAGTACCTTAACAAAGCGGCAGAGCCGTACAGCATCTTCCCATTTAGAGCTGCTCACATACTCATGGAGGATGGCGGGGTATGGGGATATGCTGATGTGTACCAGGGAGCCATCAGCTCTTCTTATAGTCACCTGATTTCCAACGAAACTCACTATATGGGGGTTTTTACTGTATTCACTGTTGAAAACAAACAAAGGAAAACTTAAAGCTATAGTCTGCATACTTTTTTATAAGTATTAAATTTGGGGAATAACTCTTACATAAACAATCTTCAAAATTCACCCCCATTTAACCCCAAACAGAATACATATTCAAATAAATGTTTCAATATAACATGCAGATGATAGATATACACTTGAAGCAAAATATACCAACAGTTTAAAGTGGCAAAAGTTACTTCATATTTGATTTCTCCCCTAATGGTGCCTGCAGTGAGCTTTTGCAACTGTTTGGATCCATGAGGTAAAAGCTTGTTTCCCTGGGGAGTGTTAGAGGTGGAGCCGAGTTAGATCTGCTCAGGGAACAGGACACTGCCTGTGAGGCTATCCCAGGCTATCCCAGGTCCGTCCGCTCCTCCCTTCCCAGCCCCAATGCTCGCCCCTGCCATCCGCACTCATGGCCCAAAAGCAATGGGCCTTGGATCATGGACCGGGAACCCTGACGCCTTGCCCACTATACCCATTTTCTTTTCAGAAGCTGCCTGTCTCAAGCACAGGCACAGCAACACAAAGCTGACTTTAACACGGCTCTTTCCTTGAATCTTAAGAAAAATTATGAAAAATAATTTAAAGGGAAAATGGCTTGAAAAATTCAGGTGAATTACAAAATTATTTTTTCATAGTAAAAACAGATGAACTTTAAGTAAGGAGACTGATGCATTTTAACAACTTTAGCAATACTTTGAAAGTGCTGCTGTTTTCTTTTCTTTTTTTTTAATATTTTATTTATTTATTGTGTATACAGTCTTCTGCCTGCATGCCAGCAGAGGGCACCAGATCTCATTCAAGGTGGTTGTGAGTCACCATGTAGTTTCTGGGAATTGAACTCAGGACCTCTGGAAGAACAGTCAGTGCTCTTAACCGCTGAGCCATCTCTCCAGTCCCCAAGCCATCTCTCCAGCCCCCGCTGTTTTTCTAAGACAGAGTCTACTGTGTAGTCCTGCTGGGCCTGAGCTCACTCTGTAGCCCAGACTGACCTAGAACTCAGAGAGATCCCCCTGCCTTTGTCCCCTGAGTGCTGGCATTAAAGGTCTATACCACCAGATCTAGCTAATTTATAAGTACTTTTTAAAATAAACTTTTATTTTGATGCTTTTCTAGTTTTGTTACAGTTGTGAACTTAAACACTAAAAACAAACTCAAAACACATTTGAAACCAAGGTAAGCTGAGACCTAAGAAACCTAACTTGCTGCTTTGTGAAGAATAAGAAATTGTTCTTAGAATTTAGCTGTGGGTATCTGCTTCTGCTTCCATCAGCTACTGGATGAAGGCTCTAGGATGGCAGGTAGTCATCAATCTCATCATCGTAGAAGGGCATTTAAGTTGGCTACTGCTTAGATTGTTATATGGTGTCATTCTTGTAGATCTCTGGGCATTTTCCTAGTGCCAGATTTTTCTTTAAACCTATAGTGGCTCCCTCTATTATGGTATCTCTTTTCTTGCTCTCCTCTATTCTTCCCATGACTCAACCTTTCTGCTCCCTCATGTCTTCCCTTCTCCTCCTCTTCTCCACTTTTCTTTCTCTTAAGTCCCTCTCCCCTCCCCCCATGCTCCCAATTAACTCAGGGGATCTTGTCCCTTTCCCCTTCTCCGGGGGACCATGTATATCGCCTTGTTTCCTAGCTTCTCAGGTGTTGTGGACTGTAGGCTGGTAATCCTTTATTCTATGTCTAACATTCACATATGAGTGAGTACAATTGCAGAGAAGGAGGAGTGATGAACAAAGGGGTCAAGACCAGGCTGGAGAAACCCCCAGAAAGAGCTGACCTGAACAAGGGGGGGCTCATGGACCCCAGATTGAAAGTTGAGAAACCAGCACAAGATCGACCCAGACTCCCTAAACGTGTGTGTTAGTATGGAGCCTCTGGGAGTGGATCAGTATTTATCTCTAGTACACGAACAGACTTTGGGAGGCCATTCCACAGAGGGATACTCTCTCAGTCTAGACACACAGTAGAGGGTCTTGACCGTGCTCCAAATGATGTGACAGACTTTGAAGATCCCCCATGGAAGGCCTCACCCTCCCTGGAGAGCAGAAAGGGGATGGGATAGGGGGTCGGCGTGGGACAGGAGAGGAGGTGAAGGAGAGGGAACTGGGATTGACATGTAAAACAAGCTTGTTTCTAATTTAAATTAAAAAAAAGAAAAAATTTTCTCTTCACAATTTATGAACAATTTTGCTGATACATGTAAGTTTTGTTTTCTTTTAAAGCTTTTCAATAACTATCATTTAATCTATCTTTAATATCACCCAAAAATTCAACTGAGAAGACTTGCACATTCCTGGGATTCTTAAAATCAATGAAAATCTGTATTCTAAATAGTGGTTACAAAGTTTTATACTGATGAAGAATCAAGATTGCGGTGTAGAAATCACTAAATCACACTGAAAAACTCACCTGAGCTATCATTAAACAGGAATAAGCTTGAAAACTATACTCGTTTATAAAAGGTGAGTAAATAGTTCATATTTTATTTTAAAGTTTTTTCTATTTAAATTAGAAACAAGCTTGCTTCACATGTCAATCAAGTCCCTCTCCCTCCTCCCCTGCCCCCCACCAGCCCCCAATCCCCACTCTACTCCCCAGGGAGGGTGAGGCCCTCCTTGGGGTGATCTCCAAAGTCTGTCACATCATCCAGGACAGGGCCTAGGCCCCTCCCCATGTGTCCAGGCTGAGAGAGCATCCCTCCACGTGGAATGGGCTCCCAAAGTCCATTCCTACGCCAGGAATAAATACTGATCTATTACTTGAGGCCCCATAGATTGCTGAGGCCTCCTAACTGACACCCACATTCGGGGGGGGGGGGGCTGGATCAGTCCCATGCTGGTTTCCCAGCTATCAGTCTGGGGTCTATGAGCTCCCCCTTGTTCAGGTCAGCTGTTTCTGTGGGTTTCCCCAGTCAAGGTCTTGATGCCTTTGCTCATCACTCCTCCCTCTCTGCAACTGGGTTCCAGGAATTCGGTTCAATGTTTAGCTGTGGGTGTCTGCCTCTGCTTCCATCAGCCACTGGATGAAGGCTCTAGGATAGTATATAAGGTAGTCATCAATCTCATTACTGGGGGAGGACATTTAAGGTAGCCTCTCCACTGTTGCTTAGATTGCCAGTTGATGCCATCCTTGTAGATCTCTGGAAATCTCACTAGTGTCAGCTCTCTCCTGAAACCTATAACAGCTCCCTCTATTATGGTATCTCTCATCCTGCTCTCCTCTATTCTTCCCCCAACTCAACCTTCCTGCTCCCCCAAGTCCTCCTCTCTCCTCCTCTTCTCCCCCTCTCCTTCTCCCAGCTCCCTCTCCCCTCCTCCCCATGCTCCCAATTCACTCAGGAGATCCTGTCCCATTCCCCTCCAGGGTACCATGCATATCTCTCTTAGAGTCCTCCATGTTTCTCTGGCAGTGGGATTGTAGGCTGGCACCCCCCTGCTCCATGTTTAAAATCCATACATGAGAGAGTACATACCATGTTTGCCTTTTTGTGACTGGGTTACCTCACTCAGGATGGTTTCTTCTAGTGCCATCCATTTGCCTGCAATTTCAACATTCCATTGTTTTTTTTCCACTGAGTAGAACTCCATTGTGTAAATGTACCACATTTTCTCTATCCATTCTTCAGTTGAGACGCATCTAGGTTGCTTCCAAGTTCTGGCTATTACAAATAATGCTGCTACAGACATAGTGGAACTGATGTCCTTGCTGTGTGAATTTGCATCTTTTGAATATATGCCTAAGAGTGGAGTTGCTGGGTCTTGTGGTAGATTGATTCCCATTTTCCTGAGGAATCTCCATACTGAATTCCAAAGTGGCTGTACAAGTTGGCACTCCCACCAGCAGTGGAGGAGTGTTCCCCTCTCTCCACATCCTCTCCAGAATAAATTGTCTTCGGTGTTTTTTATTTTAGCCATTCTGACAGGAGTAAGATGGGATCTCAGAGTTGTTTTGATTTGCATTTCCCTGATGGCTAAGGATGTTGAGCACTTTCTTAAGCGTCTATCAGGCATTTTAGACTCCTCTATTGAGAATTCTCTATTTAGTTCTGTACCCCACTTTTTAATTGGGTCCTTTGGTGTTTTGGAGACTTGCTTCTTGAGTTCTTTGTAAAATTTGGAGATCAGAAATCTGTCAGTTGTGGGCTGCCTTTTTGTCTTGTTGACTGTGTCTTTTGCCTTACAGAAGCTTCTTGGTTTCAGGAGGTCCATATTTATTAATTGTGGATTTCAGTGTCTATGGTACTGGTATTATGTTCAGGAAACAGTCTCCTGTACCAATTCGTTCGACGGTACCTCCCACTTTCTCTTCTAAGAAGTTCAGTGTGGCTGGATTGATGTTGAGGTCTTTGATCCATTTGGACTTAAGTTTTGTGCAAGACATAGATATGGACCTATCTGCAGTCTTCTACATGCCAGCATACAATTATGCCAGTACCATTTGTTGCAGATGCTTTCTTTTTTCCAATGCATAATTTTAGCTTTTGTCAAAAATCAAGTGTTCGTAGGTGGGTTAATATCAGGGTTTTCAATTTGATTCCATTGGTCTACCTGTCTATTTTTGTGCCAATACCAAGCTGTTTTCAGGACAATGGTTCTATAATGGAGTCAGGGATGGTGATACCTCTGGAAGTAGTTTTGGCTATCCTGGATCTTTTGTTTTTCCATATAAAGTAGATTATTGTTCTTTCAAGGTCTGTGAAGAATTGTGCTGGTATTTTGATGGGGATTGCATTAAATCTGTAGATTGCTTTTGTCAAGATTGCAACTTTTACTATGTTGATCCTACCTATCCAAGAGCATGGGAGATCTTTCCATTTACTGGTATCTTCTTTAATTCCTTTCTTTAAAGACTCAAAGTTCTTGGTATACAGGTCTTTCACTTGTTTGGTTAGCGCTACCCCAAGATATTTTATGTTGCTGTGGCTATTGTAAAAGGTGATATTTCTCTGTTTTGGATTTGTTGTTGGTTGTGGTATTGTATGTAGATTTCTCCCCTTTTTCCTTTTGGCTGTTGGTAAAGTGGAATTACCTACTGCCAACATTTTTGTGGGTATGGTTAACTTCCTTAGGTTGGTTTTCCCTCCAGAACTTTCTGTAGGACTGGATTAGTGGATATGTATTGTTTTAAATCTGGTTTTGTCATGGAGTATCTTGTTTTCTCTATTTGTAGTAATTGAAAGCTTTGCTGGGTATAGTAGTCTGGGCTGGCATCTGTGGTCTCTTAGTGTTGGTAGAATATCTATCCGGGATTTTCTGGCTTTCAGAGTTTCCATGGAGAAGTCACGTGTGATTCTGATAAGTCTGCCTTTATATGCTACTTGGCCTTTTTCCTTTTATGCTCTTAATATTCTTTCTTTATTCTGTATGCTTGGGGTCTTGATTATGTGGCGAGGGGATTTGTGGTCCATTCTATTTGTTGTTCTGTAGGATTCTTGTACTTTCATTGGCCTGTCTTTCTTTAGGTTGGGAAAGTTTTCTCCTATGATTTTGTTGAATATGTTTTTTGCACCTTTGAGTTGGGTTTCTTCATGTTCTTCTATACCTATTATTCTTAGATATGACCTTTTCACAGTGTCCCATATTTCCTAGATATTTTGTGTTAGGGATTTGTTGTATTTAATATTTTCTTTGGTCGATGAACGTATTTCTCCTAGATTCTCTCTTCCAACTCTTGTATTCTGTTGGTTATGCTTACACCTGTAGTTCCTGACCGCTTATCACCTTTTCTAATTCTAGCATTCCTTCAGACTTTTTTTTATTGCATTGTTTGCATTGTTTCTTGCAATTTTTGGTTTGTGTTTTCTCCCATTTCTTTAAAGGATTTTCTCATTTCCTATTTTAGGGTCTCTAATATGTTCATAAAGTTGTTTTTAAGATAATCCTCTTCTGCTTCATTTGTGTTGGGATGTTCAGGTCTTGCTGATGTAGAGTCCCTAGACTCTGGTGGCATCATATTGGTTTTTCTGTTGTTGAATGTGATCTTATACTGTCATCTTTCCATCCCTTCTTCCAGCGGGTAAGGTGGGATCTCTTCCTCTTCTGGTGGGTACAGGTTCAAGGTTCTCTACCGGTGGGTACAAGCAGGTCCAATACTCTTGATGGGTCTCACAGTGGGTGGGAGCTGGATTAGTTCAGTGCTGGTGAGCTGGGGGCAAGTCCACCTGCCTGCAGTCCCTAGGCAAGGAGATCCCAGAGTGGGCAAGCTGAAATGGGCCTGAGGAGAGGGCAGGAACTCACCTCTGCCCTGAGTGGGGGCAGGAGTGGCCCAGAAATCTCAGTAGGCTTGAGGTTGCTTGGTGAGCAGGGGGCTAGTCAATCTGCCTGCAGTCCCCAGGCCAGAAGATCCCAGGCCATACTTTATTTTCAATTTGTCTCCATCACTTAAATCTTAACAAACCAGCTTTAGCTGGACAATTTATTCAGTTGCATCTGATTACACTTTAAAAATACACCCAGAAAAAAATCATGACAATTAGAGCTTTATTTACAGCATAGAATCCTGTGCAACATAACATTACCTGGCATCTCTTTCATACAATGTTTTCGGCAAAATGTCTCTGTCCACATAAATGGTATTAGGGTAATACCACACTGTGAATCGAGTGTCTTGAATTCCACAGAGGATATTGCATGTATCACACCATGCCAACGTATGCACCATGGTTCCTTAATTCAAAAAGAATAGTCATGGCCCATTAGTGTCAACATATAATAGAATCTATCTTTAAAATCAGCTAACAAGCAAGGTCCCAATCAATGTATTGGGTATATCGCTACTTTCTGCCTGTATAACAGTGAACAGATGCAAAAACTCAGAAAAATAAAAATGCTTTAATGCTTTTCCTAAAACCATTGTTTTTAATCGACAGATGTTTCAATGCTGATGTAGTCACAGAACTAAAATTTGCTATTGAGTTACTAAGTAGTGAAGAAATGCAGACATTACGGTAGCTGGTACATGATAGTCTAAGAAAACTAACAATAATTAAAATTTTAAGTGAGTTGAAACTACTTTACCAAGTTTAATAATCTGCTCTTCTTTCCCAAATCGTTTCACTGAGGTGATGTAGAGGTCTCTATTTTTATCAATGAAAGCAATTTTTCTGTCATTGGTAAGTCCTTTTTGATCCAGAGCAATTTCTGAGATTTCATTCTAAAATTTCAAAAAGTATGTATTTTAGTGTTTGATAAATTAATTATCAGAATATTTCTGTTCTCAAAGATCAATTAAACCAATTGTGGTGCCTATACTGCTAGCTCTCAGGAGACAGAGGATTATAAATTGAGGTCAGTCAGGGTTACAAAGCAAGATCCTCTATTGAGCAGGAAAAAAAAAACCAAAAAAACAAAAGCAGAACATAGCAACAACAAACAAATCAATTAAATGTCAATTACCTACTCAAAATGATGACGTGCCCCTATTAAATGATTTTATTTATTTATTTTAAGCCCAGGGAACATAGATTTACAGAAAAGTGAGAAATAACTCCCAAGAGTGGGATGGGTTCCCACAAAGGAACACACCTTATGAAGTAATTTTAAGTTGGTAATAGCTACTAATTCAAGAGCAGCACTGAAGTGTAGTTACTTTGCTGGCAACCAAAGAGAAGGGGGCTCCTTAAAATACCATAAAGAAACATCTGCTCTGATACGCTAACCCTGCCCTTTGCCCTGTCCTTAGCTGACAGGGTGACAGAATGAAAGGAGAATCAAGTCACAGCAGCACATGAGGTCCACGTTAATTAAAGGGTTTCTTATAACATTTATTCTAAGTAGATTGCCTCACACCTGTATTTTAAAGATTTCTTATGCAAACTTTAGAAACACATGGGACTACCTCATGCTCCTAGAACACTAAAATCAACTGGGCAGATTAGATACAATGACACTGCCAAACCATGCTGCGTTATATGATGGGTGTTGGGAGAAAGAACAGTATGTAATGGCATGGAAGGGCCTCCAAAAGCGGTGTTTGTGAGAGAAAGGAAGGTGCAGACCTATGTGCTACACTGTGGTGTAAGCAGAGACAAGGGACACACCAGTGCTGCTTGCCTGTGCACTACAGCCTCTGCAAGGGTATGCAAGGCATTAGTCACTGTGGTACACCTGGTAAATAGTGAGAATTCAGGGTTAGGCTTTTTACAACATATGTTAATGCATTTCTGATTTACATGAATTTATACATTATATAAACGTAAAACAAATATTGACTAAAGGAGGAAATAAAGTAACAATTCATTAGAATTGTTTTAAAAATGTCAAAACACCCTTATGCTCTGAAATTTAACTTGCTTTAAAGGATAACTGTAATGTAGTATGCGCCTTTATTTAAGACTAAAAACCAAAACCAATACACACATCACAATTCAGGGTGCTTTGAACGTTTATAGAGAATAATTTCGAATAATTTCCCTCTCTAATACAGTCACTGAACTACAGTCTTAAAACCTAAAGAAAATGATGGCTAAGGACAGGTCAATAAGAAAACTACTACAAGTTTACAAAGACATTTTTATCTACAAAGTTTAGTAAACTAGAACATGTTACTGAAAAGCAGTAAAAGCCTGATCAACAGACTCCCATCGAATCATTTATTTACTTAATGCACCCTGAGAGTGTCCTCTTTCAGGTTTCCTATGCTTAGGCTCAGATATGGTATTTTTAGGGGAAATATGTCAGGGATGCACTCATTTTTTTTTCTTTTTATTGTTTTTTTTTGTTTTTTTTCTTTATTTTATTTTCCAGTTTAAATTTAGATAAGAAACAAGGTTGCTTCACAAGTCAGTTCCAGGTCCCTCTCCCTTTCCCTCCCCTCCTCCCGTGCCCTCCCCCCAATCCCTCCCCCCCATTATCCCCTCATTTCCCCAGGGAGGGTGAGGCCCTCCATGGGGGTGTCCATAGTCTGTCATTTCATATAGGGCAGGGCCTAGACCCTTCCCCAAGAGTTCAGGGTGAGAGTGATGCACTCATTTTTAAATGTTAAATTAAAGTCTTTTCTCCCTTAAAGCATAGCTACTAATTTTAAAACAGAATTAACTAAACAGTGGTCATTTACACTAGACACAGCAAATGTTTATTACCTTATGAGAAAGAAGTTTCCCATCCCCTAAAGGTTTTCCAGTCGATGCTTCAAAGAGGAAGATTACTTGAAAAAAATAGTAGAACATTAGTGTGTTATATTAGAACTATTATTGGTTAATTTCAGTGGCGCTATCATAATACTTAGGAAAAATAATTTAACTTAATGGATCACATAACTTGTATCAGCTCAGAAAACAAGCAGCACCAAATCTCTAATTACTAATGAGGTCACATTTTTTTATGAAAATAGTAGAACTAAAATTTTTCCTGACACACTGCCTAATTAAAAACGTTAGTAATGACCAAGGATTAATGGCCCATAGGCATATCAATGGCAAGTCTAAATATGGATGCAATGTAATATTCTGGTATCTCTGATTTAGACCTGTGTAACAATCATACTCGTGGAAGAAAATATGCATTAAGTAGCTACCTATCACGATGCAGGCAATGCACTCTGTGGTGTTTCTATTACGCACTCGTGTGGTAAAATAAGTAACTTATCCTGGATTCTGGGCTGGGAACTTCAAAGTCCCTTAGCAACAGGTTCTTCGTGGGTGCTTCCTTAACTACCAGATAAGGGCTCACAACCAGGAAAAACAAGCAGCAATTAATAGACTGGAGCTTTTAGGTCCCTGACTTCTGTGGATGAGAAGGGGTCTAGAGACTGAGTTTAAGTGAGTGGCTGATGATTTAACCAGCCATACCATGTAATAAAATCCCCAAAGATCAGTCAGAAAAACAAGCACAGACATGGGAAGTGATGGCCATCTCATGATGAGGACCCTCAATTTGGGGGGGGGTATAAATTCTAAATATTCAAGGTTTGAACAAAATAGCAGTATGCCAGGTTTGGGAGGAAATGGATTGCCAATAATTGAGATGCTCCATAAATCATTAATGTTTTTGCAAATTATAGCCTTGTAAAATATCCAGCTTACAGCTTCAGAGTATCGACTGGTTTGCCTCAGAACTATGGGGAGGTCATAAGCAATCTATATTTATTGTAGGCACATACTTAGGGAGCGCAGCCAGTTCTCGATCTGAGAATTTCCTGAACTCTTGAGAGAAGGTTCTAGAACTGTGCCTTCCATGTTTCTAGTGAAGAGTTTAATTTTTAGAATTAATTTAGAGAAAAGAAAAGATGAGCACTTTGCTCACTGGATCATAAAGCTCTCTAAAGCAATTAGAAGTTTGTTTGCCAGCCTAGAACCCAGAGGCACTGGAGTCTGAGGACGGAAGCCAGGTGTTAGGGCACACCTCTGGGGGACGAAGGGACTCTAGCCCTCTCCTCTTTCTCAGCTCCCACATACCATGAAGTGAGTGGCTTTGTCCTACCATGTGTTCCCTCCCGCAATGTTCTGACTTGCCATAGGCCCAAAGCAACAGGGTCAAGTGACCATGGACTGCAGTCTCTGATGCTGTGAATAGAAATGAGCCTTTCTAGCTTGTAGGTGATCATCTCAGGGAGAGAACGCCAACTCGTGTAAATAAGATGCAGCTTATAAAATATTTACTTTCTATCGGGTGACTATTTTAGAATTATTTAAGAAATGTTCTCTTCAATGGCTGTTAGCAATGATGTATTTTCCTAAATGCTAGTTAGAAGAATTAGCTCCCATGATGAAATGCAGAAGATACTTCAAGATTAAATAATTTCTATAAATCAAGCATTGGTTTTAAGTCAAGATATTTTCTAGGGCCAACAGTTCTGAAAAGAAATTGTAATGTTTTAAAATTCCAAATCCTTATATCACTTCATATGTTAGAATGGCTATTACAAAAGCCATAACAACACAAAGAGAAAAATGTCAGTGAAGATGTGAGAAAAGTGGAAATTAGAATATTTACACACGGCTTGCTGTTAGTAGTAATGCAAAACGGTGTTGCTGCGTAGAACACAGCATGGAGGAGTCTCGACAAAGTATAAATAGACTCCAAGTGAGGCAGGAACTAACCTCACTTGTGGGGCACTGGTTTCAGCATCTCAAGGAAACACTAGCGTTCTCACAGTCATTGCATCATTAGTCACAACAGCCATAATGTGGGCTCAGTCTGTGAGTAGATGAAGAAAATGCGGTATGTGTGACACACCACGACACAGGGGAGTGGAAGACAGGAAGACAAGGGGGGGGGATCACTGAGAAAAGAATGACGACAGAAAAGAGAGCCCTGCACATCCGGAAGACAGACTGGGTGAAATACAGTGATCACCAAAGGTCAAGCATTGCATAATTCTACCAATGTGAGGTGCCTAAAATAATGGCTCTTACAGAAGCAGAGTGCAGGATGGTGGTTGCCAGAAGCAGGAGCAAAGAAATGGATATCAAGTTTCAGTACTGCAAGATGAGTGAGGTCTAAAGCTCTTGAATACAACACGGCACCTATAGTAACCCAGCTACAATTGAGAGGAGAGGTTTCCTGGTAAGTGTCATCACAAATAAGCACAGTAAGCTGGAGGTGTAACTCAGCGGAGAGTGCCTAGCATGGGTGAGACTCTGGGTCTTACCTATCACTGACCTCCTCCCCTCCTGCCTGGTTCATGCTGACCCAAGGACACGGCCTTCTGGTAGTTGCTTTAACGTGTCCATCTTTCCCACCCCGGAATCTTTCTACTTGTTAGGTCTGCCACAGGCAGGGAGTGGCGTGCACGGCCACCCTTGCTTCAGAACATGTGTCGTTAGCTGGCTGCTGATTGTATGTTTGCTCACTGACTTGATTTTATTTACTGGACTGTCTATCTCGACCACCATTATATCTTAAACTTCTAGAAAAGTACTCAGTCAATAATACCTATAAAAGTACTATACTCATTAATATCTGTTTGATAATTTCATCTGTGGAATAGTGATACCTTAATGAAATGGTAAAACACTGGACATACTTACTTTTTATACATACTAATATGGCCTAGATTTTAACATGTAAAATTAAAACTATTCACACCTTCCTTTTACTTCAAATACTAGTTGAAAAACATATAAAGTGGCACAATGAAGAATTTACCATATTACTAGATGAATAGAAAGGAAGTATTAAACAAGGTTAAAACAAAATTCAATACATGTTTTAGAACCATAATCTTGAAAACACTTCTCTTATGAATACATAAAGATTTATTTACCACTGGTCTTGGATACTAAGACAACATATACTTGTTCTGTTAGTATGACAATCTCAGTCCTTATTTAACTCGTGTTTAGAACAAAGCATGAATTCATAATTTCTCTATACAATGCTAACATACTAAGAGATGAAGAGGCTACAGAGACAGCTCAGTGGTTAAGAGCACTGACTGCTCTTCCACAGGACCTGGGTTCAATTCCCAGCACCCACATGGCAGCTCACAACTGTCTGTAACTCCAGGATCTGATACCCTCACACAGACACACATGCAGGCAGAACACCGATACACATGTAAACAGGGGGGGATAAAAGTTCATAAAATGTCACAGCATTATGACTGCATGAAAATTTGACATGAAAACCTATGAAGATAGACTTACTCTTTTCATCAGCTTTGTCTTTTATTGCTATAGTATCATTACTCAGGGACACAGTCTGTGCATTCAAAATATCTGTCCTCATTCCAGGAAACTTCGGAGAAGAAATGAAGCGCCCTTCATAAGAATGCAAATAGATACCACCACCATCTACCAGAAGAAAATGTCTAGAAAGAGAAACAAGTGAAGTTTTTTTAAATAGAAAGATACTATACTTTCATGTTTGTATTAAGGAAGAGTTTATCCTTTGGGGGGAATATCTAAATCCCACAATTATAATAAGTATATTGATGAAGTCTGAAATATTAAAAAAATTGAAAGGAACCATTTTGATTTGTTTCCTTGTTTTTTGTTTTGTTTTTTAAATGGAGGTAAGGGAAGAAAATAAAAATGTCCAAAATCACAAGCTTATCTACTAAAAATTTTATCTCCTCTACATTATGCCCTCAACTCATTTTTTTTCCTGGGAAGGAAACCCCCATGCAAAGACAATTAGAAAATCTTCCACATTATACAGACAATAAGATGTATTTGGGAGTGTGTGTGTGTGTGTGTGTGTGTGTGTGTGTGTTCATGAATGTTTGAGGGACAAGCATCATATAATATATACATATATACACATATTATACATACATACATATATACATATATGCATGTAACAACAACTAATGAAAAAGACCAAGAATTTAAAAGAGAGCATAAAGGAGTAGAGGAAAGGAGTTTGGAGGGAGGAAAGGGAATGGAGAAATAATATAAGCGTATTATAATCTCAAGAATAAAAGAAATAATAAAGAAGTATGTAATAACGAACATTAGATGAAGGCACCAGGCATGAACTCAGAGCGTCATGCACACAACTGTGCACATAAACATGAATGCACACCCCCCACACACAAATAAATAAGAGAGTAACAGAGAAAGACACCCAATGGCAATCTCTAGCCTAAACGCATGCATTTATACATGCATGCACATGTGTATACACATACTACACACATATACACATAAATGCCACCATGCTTAGCACTGAAAGCAGTTCCTATCATAAATAAGACACCAGCTTTTAAACTTCTCATGAGGAAATACTCTTTCAATGGGCAAATGTCTGTGGCTATATAAATAAGATCAGAGGCAGGCAGTAACAAGTTGTCTCATATATAATTATGCCATCAACACATACTTAAACTATGAACATACGCAATAAATTTATAAATAATATAAATTTATTTGGAACTGTTAGAATAAAAGACATTTGAGAAAAAGAGCCTTTAGATAGCTGGCCTCTTACCTTTTAAAGGCAAAATGACTTGTATTTAAAAATTATGACATAACTAAAGCATGTTTCAATGTCATTAAACAGATGACAAAGCTTGAGGTTACATCTCCTTGATTACTCAGGATCATCTTTACGATGACCGTGTTCCTCTGTAATTAGATGGCAGTTTGGATAACAAGACGGCCACTGCTCTATGCCTTCAGCTTTCTCGTCAGTCCCTTCCCTGCCTGCGACTGTGCCAGTCGCTAGCTCCAGCACCACCAGTAACAAAAAGCTCTGGGCTGCAAAACCTGCTAATGAGCAGGGCTACTGCTGCCTAAGATGACAGGAGAAGAGAGGAATAAAGAGTGTGGTTTTGGTGTAAAGGTTTTCATACTTCATCAAGTCTTAGTGTGTAGCTTTTCTACATTTGACCTTGGCCAAAACGTGCAGAAGCAATTAAAGTAGCTTTCAGTAGGGAATCATTGTACTTAATAGATTGATTGACAGTTTTTATTTTTTAAAAGTGAGCCTGCTGGAGCAATAGCTCGTCCTGATTTGTTCAAGGGTTTTTGGTTTTTCAAGGCAGGGTTTCTCTGTGGCTTTGGAGGGTGTCCTGGAACTAGCTCTTGTAGACCAGGCTGGTCTACAACTCACAGAGATCCACCTGCCTCTGCCTCCCGACTGCTGGGACTAAAGGTATGCACCACCACTGCCCGGCCTTAGTCTTATATTTACTGAAGGACTTGGCAAAAAAAATACTACTTCCAAACTTCAGCCCACAGCCTAGTAGCTCATGAAATCAATGAGTTTTAACCAATACTTAAAAGCAAAGATAGAGTGGGGTACAGCTCAGGCTCAAGTCATGCCCCGAGCACATGCAAAGCCCTGCATTCAGTCTCCAGCACCAATGAAGGAAAGGGGCAGGAAGAAGGAGGGACAGCGTGGCAACGCTGAGGTTACAAGTTCAGTCCTCGCCCGGGCACTCTTACTATTTTGATACAAACTTAGGATGAAGTAAGTTTGAATAGAAGTGAAAAAGAAAGAACAAATGAACAGAAAACAGGGGACCACACTAATTTTCCCATTTCATTGTCGTACTCTCATATTGATACGCCAACGTTACTTGTATTGGGCTTTTTATAAAATTTAACATTACTATCTAATAAATTTCTATGATAAACTTAATATAGTAAATGTTCATGTGTGTATATATCTTTCAACGTCTTTTAAGAATATAAAGAAATTCTAATAAAATATTTCATTACCACTGATATACTTTGTTTTTAATTCTTAAACATGTAGTAGAAACAGACTGATCCCAAATGACTACTATATCATTTTATGAAATATTTTAAAAGATGTATTTTTCCAGGCATGGTGGTGCACATCTTTAATCCCAGCACTTAGGAGGCATCATTGTGAGTTTGAGGCTAGCCAAGTCTGCAAAGTTCTGGGACAGTCACAGCGTTGCATACAGACATACCCTGTCTCAAAAAAAAAAAAAAATATATATATATATATTAGCTTAGGTATATGCATGTTTTGCCTGCATGTATGTATGATATGGAGGCCATGAGAGGACACCAGATCCCCTGGAACTGGAGTTACAGACAGTGTGAGCCACCATGCGGATGCAGGGTACTGAATCCAGTCCCTGCAATAGTAGGCCGTGCTCTTGACCACTGAAGCATCTCCAGCCCTTGTAGGATGTTTCAGAGAGTGTTCTACTGCTGCATGAGCTATCCAATAGTTAGAATATAAACAAATTACCTTTCTGCCTGGAGAATTAAACTAACAGTTCCTTCCTTGAGATCAAATATAAGTGGTGTATTCCAGTTCTTCGTACTAAAAGATAAAATAAATTTGATTAGCATTTCAAATACTAAACACATTTTAATAAGCAGGCAGTTACTCATTTTAAATGGTAAGTTTAACTTCACAAATTATCACATACATATTTTCATTAAAGCACCTGACACATTAAAATTATTCATTCACATGTCTGTATCCTCAGCTAAAAGGCAGAGATTCTGTATTCCCAGCAATTAGTACATACCAGGCTTTCCATAAGTGTTTACTGGAGTTACAGTTAATGACCTTAGGATTCCTAAGAGCAAGCCTGTGTTCTTCTGGCTAATACCTCTGAGTTTGGCCAGGCCATCTAACATTCCTCAGAAGCATAGCACGCTGAGGATAAGCTAGGCAGATCTGGATTAAATATCAGGCTGCATCATCTCCCAGCCACGTGACTTTAACAAGCTGAGCTTCTATAAAGTGTCTTTGTTGAGGAAAATAAAGAACTATATAAGTGTCTAACAAACTGCCTGATATATATCAGTCACTGAATAAAAGAATGGAATAATAGCATGATGACACCAGGCGTGGTGGCACACACCTTAGATCCTAGCACTCGAGAGACAGAGGCAGGTGGACCTCTGAGTTTGAGGCCAGCCTGGTCTGCATACTGAGTTGTATGTAACCAAATCTACATAATAAGACCCTGTCTCCCCCACCCCCCCAAAAAGCCAAAAATAACATGTTGAATGCAATTATTTCCTATAGATCTTCCAGTGTTTTGTTGGATTAAAACAAAATTATTTCTGTGGCATACTCTATAAATGTAAGCTATGACCATGCTTACATTACATTAAAGTGGTGAGTAGATGCACAAATAATTCCTTTTACTTTTAATAGAATAATATGATTCAAAGACGTAGGTGAAAGCCAGACAAGGTGGCTAGCATCTGTAATCACAGCACTCAGCAGTAAGAGGCAGGGGAATTACTGCGAGCTCGAGGTTTTATTATTCTCAATAACTTTCACAGAACCTATTCTGTTTTTTGAGACATAGTCAAATGTAGACTAGGTGCCGATGACCTAGGACTCCTGATCCTTCCATAGCCACCTTCCAAGTCTGGGTTACAGGCATGTGCCCCTTGTTCTTTCCTCGTGTGTGTGTGTGTGTGTGTGCACATGTGCGTGCATGCACACAGGCATCACAGGTGTGTACACCGGGGCACCTTGCCACCTTGCAGAGAGGAAACAGTCTTCGCGGAAGCAGAAGCTCACCATTCCAGCTAGGCTACAGGCAGCAAGCAGCAGGGTCTACAGGTCTCTACTCTAATACAGCTGCATGCGGCTATGCCTGGCTTTCTCACTTGGGTGCTGGGAACTAACTCAGATCCTCATATTCGCACAGGAAGAATCCAAGTACCCACTGAGTCATCTCCCCAAAGCCCTCCCCCCATTCCTTAAAGAGACTGCACCTCATTTCACATCTAGAAACAGAAAAGAGAAGGCCTGCAGAGAGAAAGTAAACTGGTGTGCTAGCAGAGTTTGACAGCTCTTCCAGTAAGTAAACGCGAGCATATGGCAAAACAACAAAAGAATGTAGCAGTTCCGTTAGTAACGGCTACTCAGAATCAGTGCCAGTAATTAGTCTGATAAAGGTAAGTGTGTTTGTAGTTTATATGTCAAGAAAAATCACAGTCCTTAGTCATTCGCGTTAACCTTCATTCTCTATCTAGAGAGTGTAATCAGAAACGTAGTGATTATGTGAGGTCATTGGAAAAAGTGGCCTCTTAGAGTTGGGAATGTAGCTCAGGGGTGGAGTGCTTTGTCTAGCATGTGTGAGGCCCTGGACTCAATCTAAAAGAACAAGAAAAACTCTTCTTAGAAATATCTGGCCAGGTGGTAGCACACACCTTTAATCAGAAGGCAGAGGCAGGTAGATCTCTGTGGGCTAGAAGTCAGCCTGGTTTACAGAAAGAGTTCCAGGATAGCCAGGCAGGGCTACACAGAGAAACCCTATGGGGGGCGGCCACGGGATATCTGAATTTCTCACAATTGAGATCTAATGTAAATACCATGGAAATATTCACTCACTAAGCTATGAGACTAAAAACAAGGAAGGTTTATAATACTTTTTTTGAAAAATAAGCAAGAATGTAATATAGCATTCTTCTATAATACTTTCTTCTGAAATTTCTTTTTATAAATTAAGTATGTTACATGTTTATTCTTTAAATTATATATTATAAAAAAGAGACAGCAGTAGTTAAGAACTTAGAATCAAACTCCAGTTTTCTTTCAGTAATAAAATTAAATAATTTAACCTTGATGGCAGGTTACTTAATTATTCTCTGTGGCCTTTGGCTCTTCATCTTGTAAAATAGGAATAGTACTAATGATAAGCATAACCATAAATAGTATAACCAATTAACCAGAAACCAACAGCTATTATCTAAAATACTAGTTTATAACTTAATTAAATAGGTTTTGGTGAAATATCTCAGCACTACTGCATTCCTACAGCTGCTCCATGTACTTCAATTTCATAAATATTGATATTTGGTATCTTAACAAATATCTTAGGAACCAGAAAGTAGAGACAAGGCTATATTCGGAATGAAGACAGTCTTACATTGCTCCACACAACACAGGAATGAGGAAAGTAAGGTAAGCAGAGGGTTAATAACACAACATCTGACAACTGATGAGAGCAGGTTCTTGCCACTACCACCTGGAAACTATATCCATCACTGGGGGCATCTAAGAGTCATAATTATCTCTAAAACAAACAAAAATTTAAACTAAGAACTTGCCTTCATTTTCCTTAACCCATGAAAATTAGTGCCTGCATTAAATTATATTTTTCTTCTACTTTATAATACTTTCTGTAAATATTAGCTGTTTAGCTTAGTAATTTTTTTATTTGTTCTAAATTACCACTGTTCTGTCATTTTTTCATCTAAGAAACAATCCACATAACATCAAGTCACTGGCTTTTTTTTCCACTCTCCATTGCCTCTCATATTTCAGCCTCCCCTACTCCAGTTCTCCAGATGTGGTCCCTGCCTCCCCTACTCCAGGACTCCAGATGTGGTCACTACCAATAGGCAGATTCTGATTAGTTGCAGATTTATGTATATATTGAGCGGGAACAGGCACATTTGTCAGTTAAATTGAGTATCATTACATTATGAATTACTGAACCTTAGGATATCGATACAACACTATGTTTAATATATATCAATTCATTTCTTTATTCAAAATACTTACTAACCACATGTTGAGCTAAGCACTGGACAAACAGTAGCAAATAAGACATACAGTCTATCTCTATTTCCAACATTTATGTAATGATTAAACTATAAATACACTGTAGAATGAATGAAAGCACAATATTTGAAGTCCTCAACACAGACTCCTTTTTAAATTAATTTCTGTTTACATTAGAAACACTCTTATTTTACATACCAATCTCAGTTCCCTCTCCCTCCAGTCCTCCCATTGCTCTCCATCCTCCATCCCACCTTCCATCCACTGCTCAGGGAGGATGAGGTCTCCCATGAGGGATCATCAAAGCCTTCACATCATTAGACCCTCCCCATGTATCTAGGCTGAGAGAGCATCCCTCCACAGGGAATGGGCTCTCAAAGCCCATTTGTGCATTAGGGATAAATACTGGTTCCACTAAGAGAGGCCCCATAGACTGTTCACGCCCCCCAACTGGCACCCATGCTCAGGGGACCTGGTTCGGTATTATGCTGGTTCTCAGACTGGGGTCTGTGAGCTCCCACTTGCTCAGGCCAGCTGTTTCTGTGGGTTTCCCCAGCGTGGCCTTGACCCCTTTGCTTATCACTCCTCCCTCTCTACAGCTGGATTCCAGAAGTTCAGAAGAAGCTAGTCACCAAAACACCACATAATCCAATTTAAAAATGGAGTACAGATCTAATTAGAGAATTTTCAATAGAGGAATCTCAAATGGTCGAAAGGCACTTAAAAAATTGTTCAATATCCTTAGTCATCAGAGAAAAGCAAAGCAAAACAGCTCTGAGATACCTGTTAGAATGGCTAAAATCAAAAGAGGATGTGGAGAAAGGGGAACACTCCTCCACTGCTGGTGGGAATGGAAACTTGTACAGCCACTTTGGAAATCAGTATGGCAATTTCTCAGGAAAACGGGAATCAGTCTACCTCAAGATCCAGCAATTTAACATAGACTCTTGAGGGTATGAGTGGTTACGAGTTTTCTGGATAGTTTAGATGGTAGTGTGCAAAAGCTGGCTTGTAGTAGTTAAATTTTTAAGGATTTTGAAAGTTGACTATTAAATACAGCCATTGCCTAAAATGAAATTATGTAAACTTACTTGCTATGATAGGAAATTATGTTCAAAACAAAAGTAACAAATGCCCAGGACTTAGCACTTCAGCTTCATCTACCATTTAGAATACATTCTGCAAGTCACTTACATCCATCCTAGCTGCGGAGTGGAGAGTATACACTGACTGCCATTTTGCATCTGCTCTCCACTTGCAGCAAAATCACACCAGTAGCTGAAAATCGGTCATGACGTCCATTTTTACATCATCGTAATTACAACCTGCAAATGAAGTCTGTCTGCTTCAGTACGCTCTTCCTCCAGTCCTAAAGAGCACACACTGATACCAAGTGTGTTTCAAACTGTCAGTCATGTTCTTAGTTTGCAGCCATTCTTTGCCTTCTGATAAGTACGACTCTGGGTGCATTTTCTTCCACTCTTTCTGGACAACTCTGGGTTACCATAACTCTGCGTCCTCACTGAAGTCTCTCAGCCCGCCAGCCATGCTGCTACAGTGAACTGCTGCCTCCTCTCCTCGGTGCCCTGCGCCCTGAGCTTTGAGTTAACATTATAGCAGTCTCTAGAACTGTAAGTAAACACCATCTCACAGGAGGCATCTCCAGTTTTAAAAATGAGTATTAGCCTTTGGGGCACAAACTGCATTAGATCTACTTTCATTGCATATAGCTCTGAGTTCTTCCTTGTTTCCTGGTCTAAAATACGGCGCTAATCAGTACAGTTTTGAGAAAGTAAAGGTTACACCAAACTGTATTGATATGAAACCTTGAAAATAGATCCTCATCCTGACAAAAACTCTGGGTTTTAAGAAATGCAAGACACTTACGAGAAGACGTAGCACTGAAGAGACGTTGAAACAACCAAGTGTCCGTGGTTCAAAGATGCTTTAATGACTCTGTCTCGGAATTCCAGTAAATCCACAGCATCATTGAGGACATTCCGAACCTAAGCAAAAAGAGAAGGAAGGGGGAAAGAGAAAAAAAATACCAACATTTTTTAAAAATCAAATTTTAATTAGATAAGTTAGTAAGATTTTAATGTGCAGGGAAAAATTCACTGTACCCTTAATTAGCTAAGTATCATAAAAGAATCCATCTAGGCATAGGCTGATACACTTTGGTATAAAAGTCAACTAAGAAAGTACAGATACAAAAAGATTCTGTTAGAAATAGAAAAGACCTATAAGGAGTTTTAATCTTCATCCAAAGCAAGCAGCGTGGGAGTGGGAGGAGCTGAAAGAGTCCCAGCGCTGAGGTGCAGTCAGAGGGGACAGATGAACTTGGAGCAAGGATGTCTCTTTCTGGTTAGACTGTACTTGAAATCTTACGCTAAAAAAAGAGATATAACTGCTTTAAAATCACAAGTGGAGGATGGACTGGCTTTATTAAAAATGTATAGTGAGGAAGCCAAGCTGCAAGAGAAGCAGGAGGACTTTCGTGATGAGAGCAGGTAATGAAGAAGGAGGTTAGGAAACTACTGGAGCCAGGCATGGTGGCGCACGCCTTTAATCGCAGCAGAGACACACAGGCCTCTGAGTTCAAGGCCAGCCTGGTCTACAGAGTGAGTTCCAGGACAGCCAGGGCTACACTGAGAAATCCTGTCTCAAAAACAAAGAGAACAGAAAAAGAAGCAACTGGAAAGGGGAGAGTCAAGACATTCACGAGGGAAGAGATTCCCGCACTGCATGGTCTCCTACAGGAGTCTTGAAGCTGCTTCAGTCTGCCTCAGCTAGCATGGACTGAGCAGCACCCACGTCCCGTACTTCAGTTACCAAGTTCCTAGGCTGGCCTCTCTGGCATCAACCAACACCGTGATCTTGTGTACCCTGACACCAGTCCATCTCCACCATTGTCTTACGCCCTGCTTCCAGGGTCTTGAGCTGACTGGCCCATTCTTCACCTCTGCTCTTTGATAAGAACCCTGTTGGTCAGTCCCTCTGGGAACTAACCTGCCTACACTCATCAGTTCTGAGTCTGCACAGTGGCCATTAACCACTGGAGAAGAAGCTTCTCTGTGCACTTTCTTGGAGGTTTCATCGTCTCATTTTCTTTACAGCTGAATAAAATTCCATTGTGGAAAAAAAAAGTTACAAACATTTTTAGCAGACAAGTTTGCAAGCATTTTAGAATTTGGCTGTACTGGTCAAAAGTTCTGAAGTCAGTGGACAAACTATAACAAATCAAGGAAGAGTGGGTGAGCTGGTCTTTCTAAGTTCTGGGTGAGATCAGATGCATAAGTCGGCGAGAGCATCATGAGGTGAAGAAATAAGGAAAAACAATGTAATGACCCCTGCAAACCAGTCAGTCTTTAATTCTCATAATCCACAATGAAATGAAAGGACAGGAAGTCATTGTCCCAAGTGTGTCTCCAAATCTCTGTGTGCTGAGTGTGTGTGGCTATTCTGGAAATCAATGCATGCCTTTAAGGAAATGCTCGCCACTATTCCAATGAGGACACAGCCAGAAGGTCCCAGCAATAAGACAGAGAGTACCCTATTTGTACACTAAATCCACTGGCATCTTGGTTTTGGATTTCCAAACCTCTAGAACACATACACTTTGTCATAGCTTCTCAGTACCACAACCCTGTCTCAAAGACACATAAGAAAAACTATGGAACTATGGTACAACACGGGCTGCTTACAACAGCACTCTCAATAACAACAAAACCAGCCCAAATGTCTGCCAGCAGCTTGAATGAACCACTGCACATTTACACACGCTGTACAGTTGGAAAACAAAATGAGGAACTATAAAGTGGCCATATAAGATACAGAATAGCATGTTCAGTACATTGTCTTCTATCCAAAAATGAAAGGGAGTTTATATATATATAGACACAGTTATGTCTCTAAAAACAAAAAATATTAATTAGAACTCAATAACACATTATAAGAAAAATGTGTTATTTTTATATCTGTACAACTGTTAAAGACTTTGGAAACCAAATTTTCCTTTTAAAAGATAAGAACAGCAAATAAAAAGTGAAAAATATCATAAAACCCCTATAATCTTAAATATGCACTAGACTTTCTATATATTTAAATTTGATTTTTTAATCTATGAAAACCAAATCCAAGTTGTTCTCGCAGGGGACCCAAGTTTAGTTATTACACCGATGTCTGGTTGTCTCACAACCTCCGATAACTATAGTACCAGGGGACCCAACACCCTCTTCTGGCTTCACAGACACTCAAATATAGGTTCACAAAAACACATACACATAATTAAAATAAATAATGTTTATATCTAATGATAATATTAACAATATAAAAGAAGTTCAGTGGGAATTCCAGAAAATTGGCTCATTTTTCAAAAAAAATTGTAAATAAGGAAAATAATTCAGCACTTGTCTCCTCTCTGGGAAACCAGATCATTTTAAATGAGAGCAGATGTGTTTAGGGTAGCTTTTGAAAGACTGCTTACCTAGCAAAACACAAAGCTCTGAGTTCTAGCACCGTATAACCCAGGTGTGGTAGCATAGGTCTGTAACCCCAGCTCCCAGGATGTGGAGGCAGAAGAATCAGCAGTTTGAGGTTATCTTTAGCTACTTTTGAGCTCAAGGCCAGCTAGAGATAATAAGACTCTGTCTCAGAAAAAAGTTATTTTTGAGTATTGATATTTAAAAACAACACTTTGTATGATGATGCTGGGTACTTCCTGCTGTGTCGCTTCAAAGGCACATGTGTCTACATGTCTCCTTTCAGTGTGCAGGGTCAGTCAGCTTGATTCATCTGCCATGAAGGACCCTGTTGGGGGCCTCACCTAACGTGTGTAGAAGCTGTTGACCACAGTTGTTTAGAAGCAGCTTTCACTAGAGGTTGCAGTATGCTGATACTGTAATTCTAGCATTTCCCCATAGCTACTAGCTAGATTTCTTCTATAAAGGATTTAGTACCATCAATTATTTTTTAAGATTTATTTATCGGGGGGGAGGGGAGGGCACGGGAGGAAGGGAGGGAATGGGAGAGGGACCTGGAACTGACTTGTGAAGCAACCTTGATTCTTATCTAAATTTAAACTGGAAAATAAAATTTAAAAAAAATGAATTAAAAAAAAGATTTATTTATCATGTATACAATGTTCTGTTTGCATGTATGCCTGCAGGCCAGAAGAGAGTACCAGATCTCATTACAGATGGTTGTAAGTCACCATGTGGTTGCTGGGAATTGAACTCAGGACCCCTGAGTCATCTCTCCAGTCCATAGAAGAATGATTCTTAATAAACTATAGAAATGATTCCTGAAAGGATAGTCTTTAGTAGAATGTTTTTTAAAAAGAATTTAAGGAACATTATATACTAGTTTTCTTAGGGCAAAATAAGGTCCTGTCAAGCTAACTGATGGTTAATAATCTTTAAGAAAATTTCATATCGCCAGGCAGTGGTGGTGTGTGCCTTTAATACCAGCGCTTGGGAGGCAGAGACAGGTGGGTCTCTGTTAGTGCAAGAACAGCCTGGTCTACAGAGTGAGTTCCAGGATAGGCTCCAAAGCTACAAAGAGAAACCCTGTCTTGAAAAAAAAAAAGAGGAAGAAGAAAATTTCATATTTTTAAATGTCCTGCTATTATTCAAATTACCACAGGTCTCTCAAAATTCTTATTTTCCAAGGGTTTTAGTAGGGGAGAGTGACTATTTTTTTTGTCAATGTGACACAACAGCCAATCTGTTATGAAACCCCTCCACTGAGAACTGGGCCCGTGGTTGCCCACTGCCTGAGATCTACAAGCTGTATGCCCAAGAGTGCCCACCTGGACTTTTGCAATGAGAGACAGCAGCAATGCTGTAAAAATGGAGAGCTATTGCATCTAGGTATTCTCACCCAGTCCATGCCAGACGCTGGTGACACTACCATCATGGAACTGTATGGATGCAAAGCCACCAGCGCCTACACAAAGTCCAGGGACTTCTATTTCACTTCCCCCATGGTTTCCCCTCATGAAGCTCTTCCCTGGGAATCTCTTGCTTATGAGGCTGGACATCCTTGGAACTTTCAAGGCTAGCACATGGTCTCGCAGGGGCCTCCCGAGTGTTTCACATCTCAAAAGCTCTGGGTAGCCTCTGCATAACGGCATCAGAACCCAGGCACCCACAAGCGAAGATGAAGCCCCACATAAAGAGGACTCATTTGATGAAGTAGAACGCAGCCTGGGCAACATGGAAACCACCAAGGGGCTCTTCCAGAATGTTTAGAGATGGAGAGGCACAGAGAAGAACGACAATGAGCTTAACTCAGAGTACCTGGATCACCACGTGAACGCCCATCATGGTCTATACTAAAACTGCCACCAGTCCCCAGAGCCTCCATCTGATAAGCCCGGGGAGCAGCACCGAGCCAAGGTGAAGTTTATACATGGAGACAGTACTCCCAAGATGCTGGCCATGGAGGCTGCTGTGCAGCTCGTCTTTGACAAGTACTGGGACAGAAATCAGCCAAAATATTGGCCTGTCATTCCCCTGAAGTTCTGAGTACTAGGCACAGAGGCCCGAGGGAATGCCCTCTGAACAAAGTTCCTGGTCTTTCCTCTTCTGGATGTATTTTCTTCATCTCCCCTGAACATTTTTCAGAGAGGGGGCCCGTATGCGGACAAGGTGAATACAATCTGTCATCCACTTAGGTTCTACCAGCAGGAGGCATACTACTGCCCACACAGGAGTGTGTTGACATAAAGGGATAATCCTGGGTGGTGCACTGCCTCTTCATGTGGTCTCCAATAGAGTCCAGTTCATCCAACTCTTGCCTAGATACTGTCTAGTGATTCGCATTTTCAATTTCCTTCTTTAAATCTTCCTGGATGTCATCATGGCCTTAAGCCACATGTCATTCCTTGGTTTTGAATCACTTCTCATATAGCCCAAGCTAGCCTCAAACTCTTAATCCTCCCGCTTCTACCTCCCAAATGCTACTAGCTTACAGGTATGCACCCCATTCTGGCTCTAATCCACAT